ACTCTGTCTCTGGTGAAGCCTCTCGCCGCCCCTGAGCCTCTGGCCTGTACCCCAGTTCTGTATGCACAAATAAATAAATCTTTAAAAAAAAAAATTGAAGCCAAGACCTGGATTTGGCTAAAGGGGAAAATTAGTTTTGAACTGATTGATACAACTAATTTCCTTAGTTCTCTAGACTTTTCATATGATTATAGGTTAACTCCTCTTTCTCTTTCTTGTTTTAGTGGTGCAATCTGTGCATTGACTTAGTGGCATTTACCAGTGAAATATTTAAGGGAGCAGTTTTCCAGTCATTGGATGGAATTATTGTCTCAGCTAACTGTAAGCTACGGAAAATCTTCACTTTGAAATCAAAGCCTCAAGACACTGCTGATAAAGAGGGTATGTTCAAGTTGCTATTAAGATTTTTAAGTTCTCCAATGTCTTTTTTAAATTAGACATGTCTTTGAATAATAAGAATACATGACAGTAGATTATTTTTAATTTTATTGTGGAAAGAACATTTAACCTGAGATCTATCCTCTTAACAAATGTTTAAGTATATAATATGTTAGTGTTACTTATAAGGACAATGTTATATAGCCAATCTCTAGAGCTGACTCAAATTCACCGAAACGATCTATCAAGGACTCTTACAACTCAGCAGCAAAAGGACAAACAGCCCCACTTAAAATTGTCAAAGAGTTTGAATATGTAATTCTCCAAAGAAAATATAGAAAGAATCAACAAACACGTGAGAAGATGCTCAACTTTAATCATTTGGGAAATGCAAATTAAAATTACAGTGAGAGACCATGTTGACAAGGGTGGAGAGAAGTTGGAAATCCATGTACATTGCTACAGGAAAGCAAAATGGTACACCCACTCTGGAAAACATTTTGGCAGTGTCTAAAAATGTTAAACATAAAATTACCATGTGACCCTGGAATCCCATTCTTAGGTATTTGAGTTGTGGGGTTAATGCAGGCTTATTTACCCTTTTAAACATCAAGCCTATTATTATTTTTGTTAATTTTATTGAAGTGCTGTTGGTTTACACGGTTGTTAGTATTGTGTAAGTATAAGACCTACCCCCCCAGGTGCCATCATAGCACCCTCACCACCCATGTCTGCTCTCCCCAATTTGTTCTCACCCTATCTCGCCTCTCAGTGCTATGGTCACCTTTTAAGAGTTCGTTTTTAAGCTTGACTTTATCTGACCCTTTAGTTTCTTTGTGTTCCACATATAAGTGATACCAGCTGGTATTTGTCTTTCTCCTTCTCATTTATTTCCCTTAGCACAGTCATTTCCAGCTCCATTCATGCTGCTGCAAATGGTATGAGTTTATTTTGTCACTGGGATAGTATTCTACTGTGTATATGTACCACATCTTGTTGACCCACTTATTAAACCCTTGTTATTTAAACATCTTATTAAAACATGCTAAGATGTGGTAGCTGTATCATCGCTGTAATGAAGACAACTTGTTTTAACCACTATAACATGCTGCCCTTTAATATCTTTATACATTACACAATAAACTTCATAAAAGCAAGAATTTTTTTTTTAATCTGACTTATTATACTTACCTTGCAGGGGAGATACCATGATCACGAAGATGGTTTTCCCAAGGCAAGGCTCACCCATTGCACTCCAGATGCTCTGACCCCTGTGATTTCCCTAAATGTGGGAAACTTGACTGCATAATGTGTGATAGTGGGTGAATGCGTTCATGTTCTTCCCTGAAAAAAAGGGAAAAAAAGAAAAAAAATTTGACGCATATGGCAAGTGAATGAACAAAAAGTGAATAGACTTTGTAATAATGTTGTAGACTATTTCAGTTCCCTAACATTCTTATTGGAACCTAATCTCCAATGTAATAGTACCCCAATATGGAACCTTTCAGTGGTGAGTAGGTCATGAGATTGAAATATGACCACTGTCTTTGTAAGAGTCCTTAAAGGGCTCTTTCACTCCTTCTTCACCCAAAGTGAATTTATGCAACAAGACTGCTGTCTATGAACAGGGATCAAGGCTTCTCCCTACACCTGATGTGCTGGTGTCTTAATCATGGAATTCTCATTCTCCAGAAGTGTGAGAAATAAATTTCTGTTGTTTCTAAGCCAACTAGTCTATGGTATTCTATTTAGCAACCCAAACTAAGATAGAGCTAGAGATACTTTTGTGAGATCTTTGAGGTGATCATTGAAGTAAGATGTGATATGAATAAGGCACTGTGCTTGGCATTGCAGCTATTCTCATTCTTATAAATGAGATGCATATAGTTGGGTCTGGGACCAGCAAACTATTAAAAAATCATTCGTTACTTAAATTATATGAATTAGGAGAAGCCGTAAACTGAAAGGGAAATATGACTATTTTATAAGCTACTCACGCCTGATAAAATAGGGTTGAGGCTTTTTAATCCAAAAGAGCTTTATATGTATTAAAATTGATGACTTAATTTTTAGAGCTAGTTAAGATCCTCATCAAAAATATTAAACACCTACATAATGGTTCATTTTATGATAGCTTTACAGTCAAAGAAAGGCTGACAGGGTTACAAAGTCATTCAAACATTTAATAATACACTAACTCACAGAGGGAGCAAAGACACCAAAAAGCCGACCATCTGGTCATGTTTGGATGCTACATGAGCAAATCTGTTTCAGCTTTTCATAGCCTTCTCCTTCATGTACCATTTTGCCATTCTAAGCAAACCATTCTAGTCAGTATTATGTTCTTTCAGAATTGTCAGCAAAGGCAGTTAAAGTTCGATCATGTCATTTTTCAGACATGAATCAAGCAGTCTGTATGTTTCCACACACTCCCTTCCAGAAGACAGAACTTGTCTGAAAGAACAATGCAGGTGAGCCCTGGTTCCTTAGTAGCTGATTGCCATCTTGATTTCTCCCTTCTGGGGAGGAAGATGTGACATCCAAATAAAATGTGCATGGAGCACTTTTCAAGATATAGTTGAACAAAGAACAACCAAAGAAGAAGAATGGAAGACGTGGCAGTTGCATTTAATCTTGGTTGGAGTGTTATTAAAGGGCTTTTGTCTGTGACCATTTATTGAGCATCCCTTTTGAACCAGATGCTGTACTGAATAAATTATTGGGATTCTCTCACCATGTCTCCCATGCTAGCAACCCTTTGGCAGGGTTGTAGTTTGACTTTCTTGTAGTTCCTAGAATGAATCAGTCCTCCCGCCTTTGGAGTTTTCAAGTCCCTGTTCCCTCCACCTGAATGGTCTCCTTTCCACAAGGCCGCTTTCCACTTACCAGTTATGATTCAGCCTAAATGTTTCTTTATTAGAGAAGACTTTCCTGGATACCCTGTGCTGTTAGATTCCCTTTTCCTTCACTGTACCCTCAACCATCTACCTAAGCCAAAATTTCTTTGATTTCTCTTTTGTAGATGTAGAGTTGAGAATAAAGCATTTTATTTTTTTATGACTTTACAGAATCACTTTCCTTCAGATCACTTAACAAAATTATAGTTGAATACATATTTATGATATATACTAGGTTTTATATTCTCTGTTAGTTATACGGTTCAAAAAAGCCAGGGCAGAACCACTCTAGTTACTGGATTCTCAGCTACCTCAGTTCCTGTAACTTAAGAGAGCCTCAATAAGAATTTGATGAATGATAAAATTAGGTGAGTTGGAAAATGGACCATACCCACTATGTACTCACAGTTCAGCACGATTTCACTTTCAGGTAGAATCGATGCTATTTTCAGAATTAATCTTTTTTTAAAAAAAAAAAGATTATTTATTCATATAGAACTGGGGTACAGGCCAGAGATGCGGAGGGTGAGAGGATTCACCAGAGACAGAGTGGGGAGCAGAACAGGCAGATAGACGAGGTACACTGCTGAGGGGAGCAGCGGGCGGGTCAGTAGAGGTCTGCCGCGCCATGTGGATCTCCTCGAGGGCAGGAGGGCATCCAACTCATGCAAAAGTGACTTAAGCTTCTTAGTGCTTTGCTTTAACCCGCTGCACCACCAGCGAGGGACCTCAGAATTAATCATTTTTAAGCTAAGCTGTTAAATGCTGAAAAATAAAATAACCTGGAAATTGGAAATGGAGTAGAGAAGTGGTTAGTTGTAAGGTGGTAGGAGATAAGGCAGCTTTCATTAGTTCTATCAGAAATCCAGTTACCAGGTTATAAGCCTTCATAGTTTGGTTTCACAAAAATGAAACTAAAGCGCCTTTCCATGTATTTCTCTAGAAACTCTGAGAAAGTCTGAGAGTTAGTAGTTGCTAAATGAGCCTAGTGATTGCTCTTTATTTTGAAATAATAAGCCAATAGTTTTTTTCTCTAAGTTTCCCTTTTATTGCAAGGTTTATACTACCCATGGTTTCCCTCAGTGAGTAGTCCAATAAGTACTGTTAACTGGGAACAAATGGCGCCCTAGGAGCAAAGGGAAAGTAGATATACAAATGGGCAAGATGACACAGGAAATATTTTTAAAACTTAAGGTGAGGTCTGATTTGTTTGGGCAGTTATGTTCCTGTAAGATTCTATTGGAATTTTGTAATCGTCTCTGCCTTGTTCTCTGCTTAAAAGTTTATGACTTTTGGTTGCCAGAGATTTGCTGTTTGTCCCTTGTTAGTTGGAAATCCACACTTTGTTTTGAATACATTTCCATCTTTATATGGCACTATACCCTACACCATCCACCTAATCCAAAATTGTCATGATTTCTCTTAATGTGGGTTGTAGGGTTGAAAATGGAGCATTTCCTTCTTTATGTCCTAAAGAATTCTCTTCCTCTTTTTATGTACAATCTTAGTCTATTGATATACTGTGGTGGATTTTTTTTTTTTTTACCTCAGAGGATTTTGAAATGACATGTTAAATATATATTTGGAGTTATTTTACTTATTTTTCTAAATGGTTTCCGTTTTGAGAGATCATTTACTCAATTACTCTATATTGATTTTCTAAATGTTGGTGACAAATAAGAACTGAATGGACAAAGAACACCTGAAAGCTAAGATTTGTAAGTCCTACTGCAACCCTAATGACTGGAGCATCAAGACACTTAATAACCACCAGACTGCTGCTGATGAGTATTTAAGTTTTTAGTTAATGATTCCTTTTCTTTTTCAAGATTAGGACATTAGAATTTAATTAGAAAGCTGCCATGGGTTGGGTGCACATAAACCTAATGTCATTTGCCGTTATAAACATGGTTAAAGTTTAAGGTTATATAATGATAATTTTTGAAGGATGATTTATTGAATTATCTTAGCACTACTTACATTCATATATGTACACACTTTTTTCCTCCAAAAAATACCCATTCTAAAACTGGAAACATTTTACTCATAAAAATTAAATATAAAGGATGTATTGCAAAAAAAAACAAAATAAAAACTATGCTTACCATAACTTAAGACTTTCAGCCACTGAAGGATATTTTACATTTCAATTTAGTATTTTTGCTATTCATATTTGGAGTCGGTGCTTAACCAATAGAAATTCATTTTCTCACAATTCCAGAGGCTGAAAACTCAAGACAGTGGCATCCATGGAATTGGTTTCTTGCAGTCTCTCTCCTTGATTTCTTTATGGCCATGTCCTCCCAGTGTTCTTATGTGGTCTTACATTATGTCCTAATTTCCTCTTTTTTGCCGTCCAGTTTAATTGATCAACAATTGTTGTATACCACCATATAAGTGTGATATGCTACATAATGGTTTGATTTACATATATTATGAAATGATTATGACAGTTAGTTCAGCTTATATCCACCCTTTAATACAGTCTGTTTGATCTCTGAGGTGCTTCTAGAATTCTCTCAGGGCTGTCTTACTCTTAAATTGTCCTTGATACTATCTTGTCAACTTTTCTCTGTCAGTCATATATTTTATTTATTGACTCTATACTTGATAGTTTTTATATTTTTATTTAATTTCATATCTTGAGTCTCTCCCATGTTATCCTCATATTGATAAATACAATTCCTTGTGATTCTACTACAAAAATCAAGTTGTTTTATTTTTCAGCAATTACATGATTTGCATAGATCTTCACCTGAGTTTCTGAGTTTTTTTTGTTTCAGAATATAGATTCATAAAATGAAACTACTAGCAAAATGGTATGAGCACTTTTTTTTTTAAAGATTTATTTATTCATACAGAACTGGGGTACAGGCCAGAGATGCGGAGGGTGAGAGGATTCACCAGGGACAGAGTGGGGAGCAGAGAAGGCAGATCTATGAAGTACACTGCTGAGGGGAGCAGTGGGCGGGTAGGGAGAGGTCTGCCACGCCATGTGGATCTCCTCCTGGGCAGGCGGGGATCAAACTCATGAAGAAGTGGCTTAAGCTTCTTAGTGCTGTGCTTTAACCCACTGCGCCACCAGGTAGGGCCCGGCATGAGCACTTTTAAACCTTGTATACATATAGTGAAATTGTTGGGCTGATACCAATTTAAATCCTATGTGCTACATATAACACAAGACTTAAAGTAAAATAGATCATAAAACCAAAACTAACAAACCCTAGAAATCTGACTATAAAGAGGCTACCAGAAGAGAAGGGTAGGGGGTGGAAAGTAAAAGAGGGGGCTTGAGGTTGAAGGGGGCTGCTGGTAGACTATTGTGGAAGATTACTGGCATTCTAGTGGTAGGCACCTCTACAAACTTATATTTGTAGAGGTTTCATACTACACAACTAAAATATATACAGTGTTGTAATTCAGTATTACTTCATTAAAATGATAAATAAATTAAATAAGCCATGTGAACAAATAAGAAAAAATATCCCCATAGTAAATGGGGCTAAAAACATGAACAGAAAACTTAGTAAAATGAAAATTTCAATACCTGTATAAATATATATGAATGATCTAATACCTCATTAGAAATGTGAATTGCAATAATAATAATTATAAAACTTTTTTGAAATGTATTTAAAGCTAAGATGTTATTGATTGAGAAATCTGGGTAAAAGGTATATTCACCCTACCATTTTTTACCTTTTCTATAAATCTAAAATTATTTCAAAATAAAAGTTTTTAAAAGTATTTGATTCATGTCATGGCTATAGGTACTTACTTGATTATTTAAATGAGCCAGTATATTCTCAAAAATCTTACTTAAGAACATACCTAATTAGTCCCTCTCTTAATATTGAAAAAAGTAGCACTGGAAAACAAAATATTTCCGTGAATACTCTTATTTATTACATAGGTTTCTGAACCTGCTCCATGTGTTCTATACTTTAACTCACTTAATCCTTTTTATTGTCCTAGAAAGTAAACAAATTATCATGCTTGTTTTACAGATGAGAAAACTAAGACTGTAAAATTGAGTAACTCATCCAAAGTCGTACTCTAAAATGTTTTAATTGGTTTCATCTGTAAGATGTGTCCATTTGGCAGAAATGGCTTACATTTGGGGAATGAATATTTGTCTGTATTTCCAGCTGGATATGGTGTTCCCTTTCCAACAGATGAACCTACCGACATTATTCCACGAAGCTGCCAACTAACGACAGATGTTCCACAAGTCACACAGCTGCTAAATATGACTAAACTCCGCCAAACTGAAATAAAATTTGGAGGTCATCCTCTCAGTTCAGCAGAATCAGGTATGCACTCAGTTACTTAAGTTATAGTTGTTTGTGAGGCCAGATAGTTAGAAAAAATATGTTTGCAATGATCTTTAATAAATTGAAAATTTTTTTTTTAGATTTATTTATTTGTGCATACAGAACTGGGGTACAGGCCAGAGGCGGTGAGAGGCTTCACCAGAGACAGAGTGGGGAACAGAACAGGCAGATCGATGAAGTACACTGCTGAGGGGAGCAGTGGGTGGGTCAGGAGAGGTCTGCCACACCATGTGGTCACCTCCCAGGCAGGTGGGAATTGAACTCATGCTGAAGCAGCTTTTAGATTCTCAGTACTGTGCTTTAACCCGCTGCGCCACCAGGGAGGGCCAATAGATTGAAGTTTTAAAAAAAAAATTAGTCACTTTAACATTGACTTATGTCAGTGATAACTCACTATTTTAAATTTCTCTTTGGTGACGAAAATGTTTGGAAATTTTTACATAACAAACCAAAAGATAATTGATTATTCCCTTCCTTTTCCTATATGCTTCTAAGTCCTACCATCTATATTGCCAAGCATCCCTCAAATGTGTCTGCTATATCCTGCTGCTTCCATTATTCGAGCCCTAACCACCATTCATATTGTAATACAGACTTCTGTCTGTATTAATGACGTTCCCATTATCTGAAGACAAAGCAAAAAGAACATTAGAAAACTATCCAAACCCATCCTCCCTTATCTCAAACCTACTCCAAAATTCCATTTCCAGATCTTTCTTCTCATTCCCTGGGTGTGATTTTTCTGACCCTTCAATGAGTTTTCATGTTTTCCTATCTTGGGATTTCTGGATTTTTGTTGTCTTGATTTTGCTTAAAATGGCTTTCTTGCTTTTTCTGCTTGGAAAACTTCTTAATTCATCTTTCTAGATAAATTCAAATGCCACTTCTATGCAGCCTTCTCTAATTCCAACAAATATACTCTCTTCTTTCCATGACTTCTTTCCTTTCCTCCTTCCTTTCTTCGCCTTTTCTTTCCACCCTTCCTCTATACCTTACAATACAGTGTCGATTTCTGAAAAATGGGAACACTCCTTGTACCTCTTTCTTCTGGCATTTAACACCATGCTTGTCATGTGCCAGACCATAGGCTTCAAATTCAAATCTCTGTGGAGGCCACTCAGGTAACAAGAATAATGTAGACTGGATACCTGAATATTTAATGTGGGAAAATATTTTCTATTTCAACAGTGAGCCTAATTGGGAGGGGAGGGTAGTAAAGTGGAGGGTCAAAAAGATTGCTCTCTCTGTTATTAAAAGAGTAACATTAACAAATGTGGAAATGATATAATAAATGGCAGCTTATACTCAACACTTGTGAGGGTGCTATAGGAAGTGATGAAAAACAAATTAGAAATACATTCTCAGTTTAGAAAGGGGTAGCTGCAATTTAGGTTCAACCGAGTGTTATACTCTCAGCAGATCTTCCATTTGTTTTTTGTTTTGTTCAAGAGAAGCTAAGTATACCAACCTTTATGATAAATCTCCCAATTGAAAATATTGTCTAAATTCTAAAGTTTATTTAAACACTCGGTGAGCCAAAGAAAACATCCAGAGCTGCCAATTTTTCTCATAGACATCTGTAGCTACTGATCAAATGAGTGAATAGTACTTACAACTCAAGAAACCTAATGTTAGTTAGATCACTGGTGTTCCAACCCTTCTATGTTAGAATTATCTCAGACATTTTAAAAACAGCATTTACAGTTCCTAATGTCTGTGTTCTAAACTCCCCCAATAAGTCTAACATGTTGCCAAGGCTAAAAATCACTTATCTCCACTAAGGTGGTGTGGTTTGGGTGACACTCATAAAAATTGAAGTATTTCAGAAGAAGGTGAAATTCTGGTGATAATAGAGCATTTATGGAGGAAGAGGTATATCTTGAAAATATTCAATAAATATGTAAGTGTCTATAATAAATAAAGGATTTGTGGAAGTAAAGATGGTGCAGAAGACTGAGCAGGGACAGCAGAATGAATGAAGAATGTACTGAGGAATTTCTACAAGGAATGGCTGGAGTAGGTAGAATGACTGTAATGCAAGAAATCAAGACAGTGTGCCTTATGTTCCTAAATTAAAGGAACAATAACTCCTTTTTTTTAATATTTATTTATGTATATAGAAATGGGATACAGGCCAGAGGTGCAGGGTCAGTGAGAGGATTCACCAGAGGCAAAATGGGGAGCAGAACAGGTAGACAGATGAAGTACACTGCTGAGGGGAGCAACGGGCAGGTCAAGAGAAGTCTGCCACACCATGTGATTTACCTCGCTGGCCGGGGATTGAACTCATAGTGAAACGGCTGTAGTGAGCTTCATGGTGCAGTTCTTTAACCTGTTGTGCCACCAGTTAGGGCCCACAGTAACTTCTTTTTTAGGAAATCTGAATTTGACATCAGTATTCAAAATGAACTTTTTAGTCAGTTGACCAGACATTAAGGGGTATAACTAAGATGTCTTTGCAGTAGTCTAGGCATATGTGAGAAGTGACTATGGAAGTAAAAAGCAGTGACCTGAGAGAAACTGCAGGGGAAAAAAGTGTGATTCTCAGATAATACAAAAAGAAAGAATGATCAGTGTTACAGAAACTCAGAGGATAAAGATATAACCATGATAAAATTAATGAGTTTCAAAAGTGTACTCAGTTTTACTCCACATTTATCAATTGTGTATTTATCTAAATATTCTTGGTCTATCTTCTTTCACCTCCTGTTGTGAAATTTCCAAACTTACAGAAATATAGGCAATATGTAAGTGAACCCCCAAATCCCATCATTTCCCTATTACCAACTTAACTTAGGTAACACATTTTGACAGCAATGAAGGCCCAGGTTGTGAGAATATGTATATTTATTATACACACTATCTTTGGGGGACAGAGAAGAAGAGAATATATATAATCCATGTTTGCTAAATTGCATGAACATACATTAAACTTTGTAGTTCTCTTTATACAAATATTTTTCAATGGATAATTTTGATATTTGTGAGCTTTGAAATTCACTATAAATGAAGATAATAATAATTATTGTTTTGTGTAAGATATTGTATTTGAAAGGTATAGATAATAAATATTTATAGAAATATTGACTGTAGACAAAATAGTATTTAAGAGGATGAAAAATATCTTACTGCCCAGACAGCCACTCTCAATACCTCAGGTTAAAAGTCATTATTAATGAAAGATTCACCACAAAATGAAATGAGTAAGAGTCTTTTCAATAACCAAACACCATATCTGTATCTAATATGCTGTGATAGCTTTCAGTAACAAAAATGACTAATCTCTAAAGTCTATCATAAAACGCTTTGTAATTATAAATGTTCTTGTTTAAGTCTATCTTCAGGTATTTCATGTCTTCGATTCATTTAAAGTTCAAGGACGCTTATAATGTCTGAGATTAAGGAATGAATATTAATTGTATCATTAATTCCACACTATAATTAAACAAACTTTGTCACATGTCATATTTGTCCCAACTTTTAGAATAAGATATTAATGTATATTTTGCAAATTACATAAATGGGCTTTCAATGCATAGACAACTTAAGGCATAAGTACAAAAAATTAACAACCACCATCTAATAGTATATTTTTCTACCCTCTGAATCCCAAAAATATTAATTTGTAGCCACAGGGCTAATAATTACTCCTCTCAAGTATATCACAATTCTAGATGTATGGCAGCTAAAATTATATGAAAATACGTTGAATTTGGTAGCTCTTTCTAAAAATACTTTTCAATTTCTAATTTTGACATTTGTAACCTTTAAAAAAATCACTATAAATGAATATAATGATTATTGTTCTCTGTGTAAGATACTTTATTTGAAAGGTGTAGCTAATGAATTATGCCCAAGGACAGACTTTTTAATCATGGAAATGCCAAGAGTTATTTCTTTAGTTGAATTATTTGTTTTTGTGTCTTAAAAAAAAAAAAAAAACAGGCTCCCCATGATGAGATTTGAATTGCATGAGAAAATGCCGTGTGTGTTCTTGTAATTGACTGTACAATATGCATGTAAATTGTGATATATTACTGTAAATGCACATATTGAGATATCCCAGTGAAGCTGCTACAGAAGGACATAGCTATTTCCTATAATCTTTTCTAGTTTTCAAGCAAAAAAAAAACAGACCTTGAAACTTGTGAATATCCTATAATTTGATCAAGAACATTTCATCAAATTAATAAAATAATGTGTTTCCAGAAAGACTGTGTTACTACACATTTACACTGTTCACTTTGTCAATTCCCAGTGCACATTAGCTCATGACTGTTAGTCTGCAAAGGACTGTGGCTTTTGATGATATTTTCATTAATGGTACCTGGTTTAATTGAACCAGAAAATCAGGTTTGTTTATTGAAGTTGAGCATCCAACTGCTAATGACAAGAGACAGTGGATCACTAAGCACAAATCAAAACTAGTAATTTACTTAAAAATCAGAAGGCAGTTTCCTGAGTGCTCTCATTCCCACAACAGCAGTCTTACTTGATTTTTATTTCTCTTTAAACAAGAGACTGATGTCCCTATCTCTTAGCACAATTGCAAACAAGTGAATTGATGTACCTAGCATAAATCATGAAGTAATCATCTAACTACATTTGGCATTGATCACATCCTTATTAGAATTTCTTCTTTGAGTTCCACATTATGAAAGCAAGATTCAAAACAAGCAACAAAATCTACTCTAAGTAGATTTTGAAAGAATCTACTGAAAAGAAAAAGGAGTTATATTCTGATGTGAGAGAGAAAAAACAAAACACTTTCATTCTTTTTAATACTTATTCTTTTGATAAGCCTTGTCTCAGGATTGTCAATCAAAAAGATACCACAATATTTGGTCATTATCCTTCATTAAAGTATTTTTTTAGGTGTGAAAGGAATTCAGTAAGGACATTGATCAATATTCATGAAACCTATTACAACAAAGATGTCACAAGCCATTTGTTGAGTGAACATTAATTTTTCTGTGATA